GCAAAATGCTGCAAACGCTGATTTAAAACTGCAAGGCATACAAAAACACGCTTTTGCAAACATACCAATCATATGTTGAGATGTAATAGACTGCTAAATTAACCAATGAATAATTGAAAATCATATAGAAAGACTAACTTATGAAAGTAGATTAAAAAGAGCTTGTATTAGAAATAAATCACGCTCATCACACCGGTGTCTGGTGACCTGTAATTCCCCATCAACCCAACTGTATTGGGTCTGACTGGGGTAAAGCTCAAACCTTTCCAGTGCTGTGCTTTGCATGAGTGGATGGACAGGGGCTGAGAACAGAGCAGTGTTTTGGCCATTGCCAAGCAGTGCTGTCCCTCTGACACTCCTTCCCCATCAAAGGGATGGGCGTGTGTAAAATCCTGGGAGGGGACAGGACCAGACCAGCTGACCCAAAACAACCAAAGGGATATTCCACACCATATGGCATCAGCTCAGATATGTAAGCGAGGAGAGAGAGAAGGAAACTGGCGGCATTCATGATTTTTCAATATTTGCCACCACTACGAGTGCTGAAGCCCTGCTTCCCGGGAAGTGCCTGAACAACGCTGCTAATGGGAAGTAGAGATTGATTTCTATTTTTGCCTTTAGCTTTTTTGCATGCTTATATTTTGTATCTTTGCTTTATCTCACCCTGTTGGCTGTTTGCCATCTTACTTCCCCCTGTCCTAGAGGGAAAGGGAGTGATAGGGACACCCAGTGGGTACTGACATCCAGCCAGGGTCGACCCACAACACCAACACACACCTTCTTGCCCAGGGTCAACCCACAACACCAACACACACCTTCTTGCCCGGGGTTGACCCACAACACCAACACACACCTTCTTGCCCAGGGTTGACCCACAACACCAACACACACCTTCTTGCCCAGGCTCGACCCACAACACCAACACACACCTTCTTGCCCAGGGTCAACCCACAACACCAACACACACCTTCTTGCCCAGGGTCGACCACAACACCAACACACACCTTCTTGCCCAGGGTCATCCCACAACACCAACACACANGCTGTTTCTGAGCAACCCAGACTGCAAGATAGAGCAGGATGAGATAGAAGAGGATGGGAAAGAGAAGGATGTGACTACAGCAGTGTAAAATGTACTTCGCACTGACCATGAAGAAGAAACATAGTAAGAAGCAAGAACAAAGAGCAAATGAAGAACAAAAGAATGATTGAAGAAGGAGCAAAATGCTGCAAACGCTGATTTAAAACTGCAAGGCATACAAAAACACGCTTTTGCAAACATACCAATCATATGTTGAGATGTAATAGACAGACTGCTAAATTAACCAGTGAATAATTGCTAATCATATAGAGACCCTAGCTTATGAAAGTAGATAAAAAAGAGCTCGTATTAGAAATAAATCACGCTCATCATACCGGTTTCTGGTGACCTGTTATTCCCCATCAGCCCAACTGTGTTGGTGAGGTAAAGCTCAAACCTTTCCAGTGCTGTGCTTTGCATGAGTGGCTGGACAGGGGCTGAGAACAGAGCAGTGTTTTGGCTATTGCCAAGCAGCGCTGTCCCTCTGACATTCCTTCCCCCTCAAAGGGATGGCAGTGTGTACGATCCTGGGAGGGGACATGCCTAGGCCAGCTGACCCAAAACAACCAAAGGGATATTCCACACCATACGACGTCAGCTCAGATATATAAGCAAGGAGAGAGAGAAGGAAATTGGGGGCATTCATGAGTTTTCAATGTTTGCCTTCCGGAGCCACCACTACGCGTGCTGAAGCCCTGCTTCCCAGGAAGTGCCCCAACAATGTTGCTAATGGGAAGTAGAGATTGATTTCTTTTTTTTCCCTTTACCTTTTGCACGTGCAAGCCTTTGCTTATATTTTGTATCTTTGCTATAATAAAACTACTTTATCTCACCCTGCTGGCTGTTCGCCATGTCCCAGAGGGAAAAGGGAGTGATAGGGACACCCAGTGGGTACTGACATCCAGCCGGGGTCGACCCACAACACCAACACACACCTTCTTGCCCAGGGTCATCCCACAACACCAACACCTTCTTGCCCAGGGTTGACCCACAACACCAACACACACCTTCTTGCCCAGGGTCATCCCACAACACCAACACACACCTTCTTGCCCAGGGTCGACCCACAACACCAACACACACCTTCTTGCCCAGGGTTGACCTACAACACCAACACACACCTTCTTGCCCAGGG